GCTTCACCAGCCGGAATCAGCGGATAGGACGAGTCTAGAATCTGACGGAAGCGCTCCTCTTGTAGTACTGGCTACGGTGCCACGCAATAGTGTATCCAGTTTTTTTTCTTTTATTTTTTAGGGGGGTTGGGGGAGGGATTTAAGGTTACTGGATGTCCATGGAATGTCAAAATGCATGTGCATATCGTAGAGTTGGCTGGATTTCGGAGGGAGGGAAGGGAGGGGGGGAGGAGCTGAAGCCCCATAACCCTCTACCCTGGCTACGCCGCTGGGCCATGGAACGCGTCTCCGGCTGGTGTGTTTACCGCGTTCGAAAAAGTGGTCCCTAAATTTCCGCCTGGTGACATCATAAAGTGTCGTGCTGTCGGCAACAGCGATCCTGGCGGTGTTTCAGCAGCGGTGGTGGATGTGGCAGACGCTTGTCCTGCTGCTGGTTGCTCTTTAACTTGAGACTCCACGGAAGCTTTAGGAGCCATGGGTTAGGACGCCGCGACGAGAATGACACTCGCGTTTTTTTGTGCCCCACCGACAGGATCGGGTAATCCGGCAGCATGACAATGTGGCTTTTGTGACGTCATTTGTTGCCACTTTGGGTCCACCTTCGATGCACCGGAGAAATATGACGCTAAACACACCAGTCGGAGACGCGTTCCCGGCACCGCCTTCCTGGCCAAGGTCTGTCTCGAGGCTCAAATAGAATCCCCTCACCTGAGTCTCCAGACAAAAAAAGACACAAAGAACTGTGTCGTTATTTATATATATTTAAGAAAAAATACGACCCAATCTCTCCCGAAGGCGCGTAGAGCGTAGGGACGCCATATTGAGTTTTCGCTGCTAAAAAAGACAACAAAAAACAACAACAAGAAAAAAAGATTTGCGATATACAAATTACGTGGGGGCGTGGGGGCGCCCCTCTTTCCTAATACGGTATAGGCTCCCTGTCCAATTAAAAGATTCCTCACATTCCATCACATTCTGTCCGTGACAGAAAAAGAGAAAGGCGCCAACGACAGAAGACCACGCAAATAAAGACGAAATACCCAAAAGGAGGTTCCTCACCACTGGGGAACATCTCCCGGGAAGGGACTAGGGAAGGAGGAGGAGAAAGAGGGAAGGGTGGGGGGAGAGACACCACGTAATGGCGGTCGCGGAGCAGAGTCCTTTGTCGTCGTCCTTTATTAAACCCTTTATTTCTGTACTTATGCTTTTCCCCTTTTCGAGAATAAGGAAGAGAAGGGCTGCGGTATACTGGAAAGGCAGGAATGGAGAGGAATGGCCTTCAACTCTTCCGACAAGTCGACGGTTTGGGGGAAAAAAGGGAGGGAGGGACCTACCTCATTTCGGGAGCCCAGACTGTCGGCTCGGCGTCGACCCCAAAGAGTGGTTCGCTGATATTCGTGAACTAAGGTCCGGTGGGAGCTGTTTTCCGACCGGGAAAAACCGACGGCGCCAGCGGTCTCTTGGCAGGAGTATACGTCACCTTACGAGTCTACGCAGGCCCTTCTCGACGTGTACGGGTAAGCGTGCGGTGGCGGGGTCGACGCTTTGTTACTCGAACCTTTTTTGTTGCTGTTGCATTTGTTGCGCTTTTCGGAAGGTGGGCTCACTGCAATAAGTATCGCGGCTCTTGATGTTGTTGCGAACGGACTTCCAGCGGTGACAGGTCGTTCGTTGTAAAAGTCAAGTCTGCTGGGATTTTGGAAGCGATGGAGCCAGGAGGGAGGGGATCGGGCAAGAACCAGTGGCTTCTCTGCGTGTGCGGGTAGATGGGTGGCCGAAAGAGAGAGACCGAGAACCGCTTCTTCTTTTCCTTCTCGATGCCACCCCGTTGGTGAGGGAAACTATAAGTGTAGGTGGAAAGACTGGATGGCCTGTTTAGAAGTTGCGTTGTTTTCACGCACACTTTCGGAAGAGCTTCGTTTCAATGCGCTTGGGGAAAAAAGTTTCATGTGTTTGGCGAGCTTACGTGCGTACGGATGGAACAATGTTACCGAATTCACTTCGATACATAGGGTCAAAAAAAGAGAGAAACTCATAATATTTATAACTGCAGTTCTTCAGAGTTTTCGATCGGTATGGGGCTTAGAGGAAGCCGAACAGGCTGGAGTATTAGTTGTATTGTACTAACATTAGTCGAGTTTGGGGAACGAGCAGCTCACGCGACACAATGAGAGCGAGGCCAGTGGTGGTCGCTCACTAAACAAACAACAAAACAACACAACAAAAACATTGTGGTTCGGCAAAACATAAACTGTAGTCACCGAGAGCTAAAAAAACTACAACACAGGGTGTAAAGAGTTTTGAGTATATTATTATCGTTTCGCAGCCGATACGATTGCATCATTGGGTAAGAACAGCGAAGAACCAATCGGGAGCAGGATGCGTTGCTTTGCGTTTCTTAAGTTGCCAATGACTGCAGATAACTGGGCACTAAGAATGAACTTGTCCTCAAAGTTACTGTATTAGGTTTGAAGGCGGCGTCGTTTTGATTCTAATAACATCTTACAAAAAAAGAAATACATGACTGTGAAAATGGTATCAAACTCTCGTATAAAAATCGTCAATTGAATTTGGGTAAGACAACGCGAATTGGGTCATCGGCGAGGTAGAAAATATACCTATTATTAACCATGCTATTGAAAAAAACCAGCTTAAGCTGGTCCCAGCTTCAAGCTGTGTTATTGCCCCAGCATGCCCAGTTTGGCATGCTGGTCATGCTGGTTGATCTGGTCATACTGGTCATGCTGGTTGGTCAGGTCCCAGCTTCAAGTTAGATTATTGCCCCAACATGCTCAGTTTCTCATGCTGGTCATGCTGGTTAAACGGGTCACGCTGGTTATGCTGGTTGATCTGGTCATACTGGTCATGCTGCTTGGTCTGGTCCCAGCTTCAAGCTGGGTTATTGCCCCAGCATACCCAGTTTGGCATGCTGGTCATGGTGGTTGAACTGGTCATGCTGGTTAAGCTGGTGAACTTCCCCACCAATTTTACCAGTTTAGATCAATACACAAGATAAACAGCCAAACTCTTCAGAAAAGCCAACTCAGCCAGCTTCCAATTTATTATTTTCGTACTCGCGGCTTCTTCACATGAGCTCAGATGCTACACATCCTCGGCGCTGACACAGTACTAATGGACGCACAGACAGTAGTTCTCGGTGCAAAACAATGTTATTAAAACTAGATTGTTTATCTCTCAACACAAAAAAATAGTAGACACGCCGAAAACAGAAAATAAAAATAGAAAATACTACACGGATGGGAGAAGCGAACCTGGGTCCCACCAGCGATGGGGGCGAAGCGGCCTTTTGCCTAGTCGGCAGAGGCGAGGAAATCCATATGGCTTGGACGGCATTGGCGATACTCTTCGACACCACCATCATCCACGAGCACACACACGTTCGAAGACACAGAGCTACGCCTCAGTCGGGGCGTCAGATTTCTTCCTGTGCTGAACGGACTGCCGCTTGCTGTCTCCTCGAAACCCGCTTCGTTTGCACCGTCGTTCAAGTAGTCTCCAAACAACGCGCACACAGCCGTCCCTTCGAAAATCTGCCCAAGCTAGCCAAATGTGTCTCAAATTACCCGTTCCTACTACTCTCTCCTTTCTCGAACACAAAGGCAACTCAGCGCGTCTGAAGCGCTGGTCGCCTACTAAAACGAGAGGACAAAGAACAGGACATGGCCTCGTCCCAGCCCAAGCCGACCTTGGCGAGTGCGCTCCCAGCAATGCCAGTTTGTCCATCTCTAGCCGACCTTGGCGTGCGCGCTCCCAGCAAAACCAGCTTGACCACCACGATTAGGAGTCCGACCGATCAAGTCAAAACTGTTTTGACTTTTTGCCTCTGCAGCCCACATCACTATTTGATGATGATGTAAATAAAATTGATTGATTGATTGATTGATTGATTGATTGATTGCTTCACCAGCTTGTCTCCCAACTTGACCAGCTTGTCTCCAAGCTTGAACACATTGGCTCCATGAAAATCCAGTTTGACCAGTTAGGACCAGACTGGCTCCTAGCTACACAAGATTGAATCTAAAACCAGATTGTAGTTAGACCACACATGTTTCTACTCAAACCAGACTGACCAGCTCAAATTCTAGCTTGACGAGCTTAAACCAGCTTGATTGCCGGTTAAACCAGTTTGACTACCACATTGACCAGCTTGACCAGATCGATTTTCTTGCTGGTTTTTTCAATAGGCCACTACTTGACCTTAGATAATTTTGATGCTGCGAAGAAAAAAAAACGAAAGACGTTTACAACTTCCTGTAACGTCGAATTAGAGCACTGCTTTTGAGGACGAGGAGGAGGGGAGGGTACTGAGGTGAGGGTATGCCCCTCCTCCTCATCCATACTCTCTCCTCCTCCCTCCCCCTCCTCCTATCCTCCTCCTCACCCCTCCTCCTCCTTCTTCCGTTCTCCTCCCTCCTCCTCCCCCTCTTTCTTTCTGGTTTACAGTGTTCTCTCTCAACTGGTTTACAGCCTTCTCTCTGATAAAGTGGAAAGAGTGGAGGGCTTTGTGAGAGGAGCTGATTTTGCTATTCTTGCAAGTAACCTTCTTTAAGCAACAATTTTTTTTAATGTCGATGACTGAGATAGATTATGTTATAGGGCGGGTGGGTTCATATTATAAATTGCGAAGCAACTTGCACCAAACACATGTTTTCATCCTTTAAATTTATCGTACAAACGGTAACAAACGTAGCGAGATACCCAAGTCTGGCAAAATATCGCGGTACAAGGGATACACCGTGAATGTATTTCACTGCTGAGATACAAATACATTTTTCAAATGTATCTTGATACAGAGATACATATACTCGAAAGTAGCTCTAAGATACTATCGCGATACATTTGTATCGCGATACTGCCTAGCCCTGATCTTGTGCAACCGTCTGCTGAGGTTCTCAGACATCCGTAATGATCTCCAATGGGCGCGCCTTGATCGCTTGGTAGCTCATTCGCGATACTTTTTTTCTCCACGCTATCAGACGATGTGGGATGCTTCTGAAGCCATGGCTCCACTGCCCAAAGTGGGGGCAGGAAACGTGCCGTGCAGCGCTCACGCTGACCTTCCCAGTTTTTCTTGGACGCTGGCCAAGTGTTTCACCATAGTCACTTTGGGGTAAGGTACCCGTTGAACTCCACAAGCCACAGAGTTAAGCTTCCGAGGGGCTGCTGGAACCTCATTACTATAGCGCTAAACATTTCTTGAAAATTTAAACCTTTTTTTTCTGTGGTAAGGGAATGTCAACCTGCCCGACCGACAACAGTGCTAAGATGTGATTAAGCTACAGTGTTTGTGAACATAAATATGTATGGGCGTTTTACACTTGAAAATTGATCAGATGCCCCTATGTTCGAGAACGTTTTTAGTAGAAATAAGTGCACCGCGGCACTGGGGATGGAAGAATACACACCTGAGACCAGTCATGTGTCCCATAATAATGAAATTCAGCGCATGCTAGTTTTCAATTTAATTTATTTAAGGCTTTTGCCTGCATCAAATTTCGGACAAAAAGTAGGGACAAAAAATGACAAGGACATATCAGTAAAAATAAAAATAAAAATAAAGGAAACGCATTGGGACGGGAGCAATCAGGATAGTATGACCATAAAGGTAACAATCAAATGCTGCAATTGTTATTAAAAAAATGTCGCACCTCTGCGGTAGTTACATGGATGTAATATGCAATATTTCACATGACTGACAAAGTTAATTTAACATGTGATCGTAATTTTCACATTTTCGAAGGAAACTTGCTGAAGTTTCTTTGGGATATAGGAAATAACGATGCAAGGGTAATATTTCTACTTTTGTTGCGTGCTCGTTTAGCAGTTATAATATGGCTCTGATCACAAAATGAAATATCGAATCTAAACGTCATATTTGCTTCAAAGGAGCGAGTTTGTGTGAAGATTTGTGTGAATTTTGGAGCAGTATTTATTCTATTGATTTAAAAGATACTTTATCTGACACATGTGGACCACATCATGTGTGGGAACATTACAAAATCACACATACACAAAACACATTAATTTGTGTTAGCATGTCATATGACAATCACGAGCAGAATCCCGGGCGGAAGTAATCGCGTCTACAAAGCCGTCAAGTGACGGGAGGGTCACAATTTCACTTGACAGGGAGATCGCTCACTAACTGCCTGCAAAAAAAAAAAAAAAAAAAGATATAGTATATATACTTGAAAACAACGGGGTTAAGTTTTAACTGTTTTAATACCATTTTATGATTTAATCGAAAGAACTGGTTGTTGAAACTTTCGTAAATCTTTCACTCTTAACATTCAACTTTTTTTTTTTTTTTTTTTTACGAAATAATGTAGAGATTATACCACCTGTCATTTTTAGGTGTATCTATTTTTGCTAGTTGCTGGACATTTTTTTCTTTATTACCAATGGACATACCCTTACCGCCCAGGTTTCTGGCATCTCGATACGGTTTTGTGAAAGGCAGGGAGGTGAAAGGGCTGGATCTGTTCACGTCCCACGTCAGTTTGTCAGCGCTCATCTTTCTCAACTTGAGCCAAATACCGCTGGGCTCCGTCCAATGGGACCTCGTCCTGGGAATCCTGTTGGGCAAGGCCGTCATCTTTGTCCTGGTGCTGGTTATCATGGTGGCCGCAGGACGACCGGGAAATCTTGCCAACGCCGGACTCTATGCCATTTTCGTGACTCAAGTCAACGACTTCGGCTTGGCTTACCCCCTGGGTAAGTGAGCGATTGCGCGTTATATATACCGCTGCTTCAAGAGGAATTCAAAGGCCTAATCTGCCCACTGATCTCTACTATAGGGGGCTGGATTGCGTTTAGCCGCGCTCCGAGTCTAGCCAGTGCCTGGTCTGGCGCGAGTGAAGCCACTGGAAGTTTGATGCCTGTCCCGGAAGTTGAGTTTCTGCTGGGTTTTATCGTGCGTTTAGTTCATGTTTTGGTTCAGGCTTTCTTGCATTTTTACGTGGGTTTTAATAATCCCTTTTAATATTCAATTATGAGAATGAGGCATTTGAACGTGGGGCATGTAGAATTAATCAATTAGAATATCAAAATTCTCACAGATCAAATGGCTTCCAAGAAGACTTCTCCGGCCTGCATAAACTGTTATTGCACAACAAGCAGGCTCTCTTCATATAACAAAAGCAAATCAAGCGCCTTGGAGACTATTTGGACCACCGCTCGTAAGAGTGGGAAAGCCTGTCAAGCGCTCATTCCGGTGGCTTCATACATGTTTGCTCAATGCGTTATCCAGCCCACTAGTGGAGATCAGTGAATCTGACTGAAGGATTTTATGCGGCGAGAAACTTCGTCTGCTTCTATCGTAGCGGGTACAGTGTGTAACAGCGTCGAGCTTTGGTTGGAAAGATACAGGGTATAGTGCAAAAGACTGCTGCCTTTTTCTCTACTCACTGTATCCATCCAATCAGGGCGAACAAGATCGTCATCTCCGTTTCACAGTGACGTCAGGGTCAGGCAATCGGGCGCCGAACGCCATGTATCGTCTGCTAGTCCTATAATGACTGTTTTGCCTTTTTTTACAATTTACGAAAAACCACCGTTTTTTTTACAAATGAAGACTGATTGTTAGGAAAAGGAGAACGGAAATACTCTGAAGTATATATATATATATATATATATTATTTTTTACGACTAACAACTAGCAGACGAGCTTCAACAAGCGAGGAAGTCACGGCCGAGATCTCGTCTGTTTACTGCTGCCACCGCCGAAGACCTGACTTTTTTGATATTCATAAACGATCATGCCCCCCCCTCCCCCCCCCCCCCCCCCTTCACATTTCTTCCTCTGCTCATCTCTCTGCTGACGATTGTGTCGTGCACAGAAGAATAACAACTCCCAATTACCTTTTGACATTGCAGAATTGCAATAATAAAATAAGCAGTGCGTTACATGGCAGATGTTCTTTACCATCAGTGAATGTAAATGCACGTGTTTCTCTCGTTCTCCATTTTATCCCCAGCCGAATTTCGCTCTTCAAGCCGTATTCCTTGTTTATACCAATGAGTACAAGTGTCTAGGAATCCACGTTACTTCTGACATATCCTGGCGTACTCACACTAATAATATCATAGCTTCAGAATACCGCACTTTAGGATATTATCATCGCAACTTCAAATTCGTCTCTCCTGTCCTTAAACGTCTTCTCTGTGTTACCCTTGTCCGGCCCAAATTCCAAAATTAAAATATGTGCCTTCGATTTGGAGTTTTCACCAAATAATTTTACCAAACCTAATTGAAGTGGTTCAGAACCAAGACGTCCATTTCGTCCTAGCTAATTACTCACATCTCCTCCAGTGTGTCCGCCATGAAAGCTCAACTTAACATTCACGATTTTTATTCGTCCTAACTGCCTTTGTCTTTTAGTTATTACAAAATAGCCGGAACGCATTGCAGCTCAACGGCCTCCCTCTATTATGCCCTTCCCGACGCCACTGTAAGCTGGAATGACCTTTTGGAGAATAGTGTCACATCAGCAACGGCACCTTGCTTCGGAGCGTTAAAACTTGTAACTAATCTGCTTACTAACACCTACTCCCCTCTGTAATGCCCATGGCCCTGAAGGTATTTGGAATAAATAAATAAACTAATCGCCTTACTAACACCCACTCCCCTTTGAAATGGCCGTGACCTTGAAAGTACAGGGTGTCAAAAAAGAAAATTTGCACGGTCTTTTTTTACCGCAAAAATAAACTAGGCATCGCCGAACGCTCATTCTCCGCCCAGAGGTAGCGCTAGGGGTCACAACCAGATGCCAAAGTTTCAGCCTGATCCGATAACTTGATCAAAAGTTATAAGTGATTTTCTGAAAATTTCAACGGGAAAATGGCGGCCGACGGAGTTTTCGAACACATGGGGCTCTATGGCACCAGAAACCGAAAACGGGCAAAAATGGGCTCCATTTTCCCAATGAAATTTTCAGAAAATCACTTATAACTTTCGATTAAGTTACCGGATCGGGCTGAAACTTTGGCATCTGGTTGTGACTCCTAGCTCTACCTTTGGGCGGAGAATGAGCGTTCGGCGATGCTTACTTTATTTTTGCGGAAAAAAAGACCATGTAAAGTTTCTTTCGTGACACCCTGTATTTGGAATAAATAAATAAATAAGGCTGCGGGGGCGGAGCTCCGTTGGGTTTGACGCACATGTGATCAGTCTCTTTATACTGTGCGAAGGGCGCGTTTCGGCGGACTTCCTGGCCGGATAGACTCGGTCAGTTGGCTCCTGATCCCGCGACCCTGCGCGTGTTCCTCGGCATGCTCTGGTTCACCGATTCTATAAAGGAGCTCGGTCTGAAAGACTTTGAAACGAGATGCCGAACCGGTGCGAGCTTAAACGACAGAAAACACGGGGCTCTGTACTCAGGGTTCCCCAACGTTATACATCGTACAAAATACAGTCTGCAGATACCGTTTTAGGCGTGATTCCTTCTTTTATGATGGTCGTGCCACATTGGTCGTACAAACTACAGACATGTTCGAAGTACACATGCCTGGAACATAGGTTGTGATGTGCCTCCTGTCCGCATATACTCTCGTCATCATGTCTGCATCCGATGCCACCATGTAAGAGGAGGAGAGGGAAGCTGCTTTTGTAAGAATATTGAGTGACGGGTTAATCTTCTACAATCTTCTGGGAGGAGAATAGCGACGTCTGTACAAAACCCAGAGGCATAGAACAGGATCCCGACAAGTGAGGATCTCCCTCTTCCCCTCTTCTCCGGTGCTCATCGGAGCGTTCTTTGAGTGACGTCACGTGCAACCCATGTATAAGCAGCGCGACTGCAGCTGTAGGATGGTGCGTGCAGTTTTCGCACACGCTACAGAGCGAAACATGTTAAGCTTAGAGGTTTATTGATTTGATGGACACCATTGGGTGAAATAGCCTTAAAGTGCAGAATTGTGTTGAGCATAATTGCGTGGGCAAGACTCATCTATACACTTCCCCTCGAGTGCCAGAAGGTTTGCTAAGTTTCCCCCTTAAGCTGAGATTACGGTGCTACGCGCTTGCCGGACCAATGAATCGGCCCCAGTTCATCGCCTGATTCCGAAGCTCTTTACGCTTGGGTAATGCCGATTGCTCCGATCAGGTGGCGCAAGGAACACGCATGACTGATCTAACGAGCATCCACCGCATTGTCGGCTTTTGTGAGAACGGCGTATAGATGTGGAATCGCGGATGGTGCTCGGATTACACGCGCCATCGTGCAATAGAGGCGCGTTCTCGAGCAAGATGCTTGCTCGGAGTATTTACAACTTTAATTACGTGTTTTCTATTACGTTTTTTTTTGTATAAGTATGACAGTCCGCCGGAAAAGTGCGAAGGAAAAAAAAAAAAACACAACATAATAGAAACAGACAATCAAATTACCGCAGGTAAAATTTCATGATCAGTTTAAAAGACTTAAAATGTTCCATACCGCTGAGACCGGTCACGTATGTTGCACAAAACTTGCGTTCCCTTAATCTTTTCTAGAAAGATGACGAAGTGTATAAAGAAGGTAGTGTTAAACGTGTAAGAACAGCAGACATATCAATAAAAGGAAACAGCAGAAGACCAGGCAATGACGATCTCTGCAGATACGAAGTCCTCACATAGACTTCTCAATTGAGGAAGATTTTGGCCATACGAGTAAAATGGTGAGAATTATTTGGTTGTTTTCACAATAAACGTATTCACACGAGCCTGCGAGGAAGGGATACTCTTTTCATGTCCTAGAACGTGCGACCCTTGAATTTCTACGGGTATAGAAAGCCTCCCTTTCCAGTATCTTTTTTTTTTTTACCCATTGTAATTTTTACCTTTGCGGGTCATCACGCAATAGAATTCAAATAAACAAGCGACAGTCGCATCACTGCACCCTCCGATCTGAGCTTTAGCGGCCAAGTTTAGCTTGCACTGAACACACTGTTCTAGAGCGAAACCTCCATTCTCATCACCTAGGAAATGGATTCAGATTGCGCAATTCATGCAAGCACATCTACAAAAAAAAAAAAAAAAAAAAAAAAAAAAAACTTGTTTGCTTACGTTACGGGTATACGACCATGAATAAAGAAGCTTACTTAATGGTGCCCTGGGGAGGTTTCTGCAATTCCCAAAATATGGAAATAACTCATTCTGCGGGCTCTAATAAGCATCCTAGAAATCCATAAATTATAACGATGCCCGCCCGATTTTCCTATTAAAAAGCAATCAAAGACCGAAATTATTTCCGGCGATGGGAGGAGCATTGTGCCGATGACCAGGACGGCATGTGACCAATGAAAACGCTGCATTTCATTGAGATTGCAAACGTTATTGCAAAATATGTATGGTTTTTGGAGATGATAGAGGCAAGTAAAGAGTAATCGAAAAATGTTAATTTTTCGCGGAGGGGGAAAATAATGCTGCAATTATCGTCTCAAAAACAACAAACAATGCTTTTTTTTTCCGCGTGAGTGCAGTCTGGTAGTCAGCTCTCGAGCGCGCGCTTGCAGGGTTGAATCGTAGACCGGAGTCTATTAGCGGCGAGATGTTTTGGTGGCGCCCTCCTATGGTTCCTCTCGTGACGTCATTACCTTACGAACAACAAGTTCGGCGGTGTTTATAATTAGCATGATGGAAGCTTAAGATCATTGCGCTCTGAAACCAACACTGCCAACACCGTCAAAATTGAAGTTCTCACATTCCTCTTATTTCTGTCGATGAGAAAACCTTTGCTGACGTCATAGCCAATCATGGAAGGCTGACCACAGCGACGCTTTTGATCGCGCACGTCGCCAATAGGTAACGTGCCGCGTGCACTCGGCATATCACTCCGCGGTTCCACCGGTCGGAAGCGCGTGAGGATCCAGGGGTGGAACTCATGAAATGCACTTGGGAGCAGCCACGGGAGCAGCTGAAACCGCTGTTTTGGAGCAGGTTGGGAGCAGCTAAAATTACGTTCTGGAGCAGGCTAGGAGCAGCTCAGATCAGTTTTCATTGCACTTCAGCTTGTGTCTTAGACAAGCACGGGAGCAATTTCAATCGTGCTTAGCAGAACAGATAAACATGAGTGGTTAGGGACCTAGGTAGATGGGAGAACAGTGTAACAGATGCGAAAACTTGAAACTTCGTGAGCCTTAATGAGAATCAAAAAGCAAATACCCTATGTTTCTGAAGATAGCGTCCTTGATATCTTCTGAGTGGCTTTCAGCTGCTCAAAACGCCAACCAGCACTGCTTATCGCACAACCCAGACGTGCTCGACATAGTAATTATATGTGCGAACCACGTGACGTGCGTAAGCAACGGACGTCCAGTTGCACGGAGGAACAGGGCAACAAATTTCGAGTTTATCCTATTGTGCAACTCGATATCGAAGCAGCAGACTACGATTAACGAAGCTATCGTATTTGAAGCGATAAGCAGGAGCAAGGTTAAAGTACGCCGAGTAGATCTACCACTCGCGTAAGAGCTGCTGGCCGGCAAGGTTTCGGATCGGATTGCGTTTTAGTTCTATCAAATCACGATTTATCTTGCGAGTATAAGGTTCCAACTTCTAACGATGAAGTACTAAAAGGAGTATATTGCTCATTTGTTTTCAACTGGCTGACGTCCGGATCCCGGGCCGCAGAGCCTCAGGCAACCTCACGCTTAACGACTCGACCTCACCTCAGCCGACTTGCTTAACCGTTTATGGTTGAAGAATAACAATCCAGTCCCAGGTGGTGTAGCGCTTGGAATGAGAGTTTTTATCGCGCGCTTTCAACTCGGGATACACAGGGAGAATAAACAGAAACAAAGGATTGCAAGGCCGACCAGGCTAAACGCGCTCATTGTTGCCAATCGAGTCAACAAAACCGAAACCAAGACAAAATAAAAAGTTTTTTGGCGCACGTTTTGCGAATTGGCGCATAATGGCGCGAGGTATTGGCTGTGGCGCAGTTTCTGCAACATGACGCAAGATGGCGCAAGCACATGCGTCTGGCGCAAAATGGCGCAAATGGCGCAGCCGTTCCACCCCTGGGATCCTTCGCTGGCCATTGACTGATAGTGGTCCTGGTGTCAGAACATGCTCCAACCATCCCCGGAGATGAAATCGGTGTGTTGCGATTTTTGGTTTCTTTTTGAATAGGGAATCTGTCTCGTATCGTGCTGATTCAGGGATTTTAGGATGCTTAAAGCCAGCAGAATGAGCTATCGCCATATTTAGGCCATCTTAGAGACCTCCTCGGGGAACCTTTAAGGCAGCCTAAGAATTTGCATCTTTTTACGGTTGTGCGGACTGACGGTGTAACTAAAAGTATACCAAAAGTATTGCAGATTAACTCCAGTAAACGGGATCACCCCTAGCGGCGCATGTGCTGTATGGGTGTTGGAAAGGTTCAAGCCATCATGCAGCAACATGCTGTTTGGGTTACGTTGTTACCAGTCGTTATTGATTCAGGTGAAGGGACTTGCGTAGTCATTTTTCTGTCGAGTATTAAATTGTCCGGCCCTTGTTTCAGTGACCGGCTGCTTTTGTCGTATTAGGGATACATAGCGGAAATCGATAGACGCTGGAACTTTGCATGAATTGCACGAAAACCCGCATATTCAATTCGCAAGTTTCAGCGATGGTGGTACCGCGGTGTGAGAATCGCGCTTCCTAGCTCCTGGATGAACAGCTTCACGATAAATGTGCTTGCCTAGACCTTCCTGACGTGAAAAAATAAAATAAGGCTCTAATACTGCTCCATATATAGCAAAACTGGAATTACTCAATTACGCGTCGTAGTCAGAGCCTCGTACTTCTGTTCTAGGACGATCATCCAGATGGCAGCTATATCTGGACAGGCGGCAGTGCGCCCCCTATAGGTCGTAAAAGTTGCGAATGTCGTTGGGCCTGTAGAGCGACCTAATAATACCTGACAGTGTTAACCCTGTAGTGTGGGGATTGACAGCCCAAAACACCTAAAATTCAGCCTGACAAAACAGAGAAATAATTGTAATTGTAATTTTTAGTTCGCGATTGCAATGCTGAAAAAGTGAAGAAGTCAGCGAACGTTGACCTCTTCGCCTTTCTGTTTTAGCTTTCTCTTTTTCTTCTATTTCTTGCTGCCTCTTTTTGGCCTCGTTATGGGGTCAGTGTTAGCGTTTCCCAAAGGGGCACGTTAGTGGCGTTTCCCAAGGGTTATGCTAACTCATTCCCTAAGAATTCACCAATAAATCTTCCTTCAATTTTTTTCGCTCCTTTCCTGTACTCTGCCTGTCGGTGTACGTCGACGCCCTTGGGTACGACCATATCCTTATGACCCCTGGAAAGAATCACATCCATACGACTCGTAGAAGGAACCGCATCCATATCACTTGTGGAAGAAACCACATTCATCGTTTCAACCACAGACACACGCATCACAGCCCACGCACTGCTATTTCGGAAACCCAGAGTGAAGAACATCGGGCGGCGGGAGAGCGGCAACTGAGCACGCCCGCATTCCACGGCGCCGCGTCCTCTAGCTCCGCACCAACTGTGCGACGGTCCTTTGACGAAAACGAAACCGCTCGTTTTGACGACAACCCGGTGGTGTCTGTCAGTTTGTCAGTGCCGGGGAGAAAGGGAGAGGGTGACACGTGCTGACGTCAGCACTTCGGACCAATGGGAGCGTCTCACGCGTCAGCCTCTCCTTCTCCCTCTCTTCCCGGCGCTGACAACCCGACAGACACCGCCGAGTTTTCGACAAAACAAGCGTTCCAATGCGAATGCATAAAAAAAAACCTATACCCATTTTTACGTTATACCGCGGTCACGCTGCTCAGTCAGTCTGCAGACACTGTCTGAGGACGGTTCTGCCACGTTGGTCATGCAAAAACTGTCTGCAGACAAGTTCGAAGAATACATATGGAGGAAATAATCATGCACCGAGCATGTTTGGGGCGAGTCCGTAGGTAATTCTGCCATCGTGTCTGCAGCGAACAACGTGCCCTTTACATGATGTATAAGCAGTGCGACTGCGGATTATTTATACTAGACAGTTATTTTAAGGGGTAGCCCACACTGGCACCAATATGCAGCAATACAAAAAAAAAAAAAGAACAAAAAAACTTGCAACTGCTATTGAACCATATACGTATGCTACACCCACCCATCCGTTCCAGTGGACTCCGTGTACAGAAGCAGCCGGCGGCCAGACTACGCCTCGTACATGTACCTGGTGGCCCCGTTGTCTTTGGGCCTGTTCAACCCGATTGGATTCTTCCTGGTCGAAGTGGAGAGGGTGCGTTCCAAAATGGCGAGCGTCGTTCTGTCGGGCCAGAAATCCCACCTTGTCAAGCAGCTGGCCAAGGCGGCTCTCGTCGTGTCCCTGAGGGTTTGTGCTCATCCGCACGTCTGGACCTCGGTGCTGGCCATCGGCGTCAGCTCCCTGATGGGCAGAAGCAAGCTCCCGGAGCCGCTCGTCAACGCTCTCACGGTGAGCTTTTTTTTTGTATTTTGCGTACGTTTTTGTTGTAAGAATTTAGGTGCCGTTTTTCGCTGCTACAGACAACGCCGACTTCGCTGCAAGGGACCCCCCCCCCCCCCCCCCCCCCCCCAGTTAATGCTTTCGCATTAAAAAGGAATTACGAGACAAAGAGCGGGTGAAAATATCCCGTTACGCTTTAGGAGCAATTTGAAGCCTGACTCCCATAGTTCGAGAATAGCGGTTTGCGGACCTCTTATTGGCTGCAAACAACGATGGCTCGAGCAGAGGCATATTAATTACCCTTGTCAAACGGGTACTCTTAATCGCAGTTAAGTATGACTGAGGTCAGACTTAACTGCTGAACATGGGTACCCTGGTGTTTTCCTTATATTTTCAGGCTTTGAACATTTGCTAAATACACCGACAAATATATTGCAGAAGTAGTAACCCAAATATCGAGCTTAAATAAATTTGTATTGGCGAAGTTATCGAATTTACCATTTTGGTCCTCACGTGTTTGTCAAAGTGGAAGCTTCTAGTGGCGACAATGAAAAAGTGACTTTAGCGGAAGGCAGAAATTCACTCTTTGAACTGTGGTCATTGTTTCCAAATGACCACAAGCAGTTTCATGGTGTCAAATGTATGCTTTGGAAGCTCGCTCTAGCACCCCAGAGCAGCACGAAAAAAATGCTCTACATAGTCCATATTTAGACAGCCCGCTCGACCTGCTTCGACTGACGTCACGGTACTGAAAAGCGCGGGTATATTTCAGTGCTGGTTTTGGCGTCATTTTTACTTGCCGATTTCACAATAACGCTTCTGAATTTAGCGATACTAAATAACATACCGGAAAGGGTAAAGGCTCGTGATTACGTAAATAGAGTCCGTTGGGATAGCTCAGGCCCCATGAACCGAAGTTACGCTCAAATGTGGTTAACAGTCACTGCGAAATGTACACGGTCTACACGGGCACCCTTAACCGCAATCAATAACCTCACTAACACCTGCCCGTGTAAGTTGCCGTACTATACTTCTGCGGCTACGCATTCCAAGGTATAGGGGCGCACGTGCGCTTGAGCATCTGAAATGTCTATCAAAACTGTGCACACGCACTCTTGACTTCTGATATAGCTATCTTAGAGCATATAGTGCGGTAAATGTGGTGAGACAGTTAAAAAAGCCAGTAATTCTGACGCGGCACTGGTCTCACAGTTCACATAAATGATAACAACTACGAAGGGCAATACGAATTCTGCAATATATATTCCCAGACTTCACATTGCATTGCCCGCTCGAGGAACCGCGTACGTTTTATGATATACGTCTAGCAGGGAAGACATTGAACTGGGCAATGTCCAGGTCGATGTCTTCACGCTAGACGCTATGTTTGCGCGTCTCTTGTGGCCTTTGTGATTACATGATGTCGGCGGTTGGCTCGATGGAACAAGACTTTCCAGCGAATTTGTCATTACTGACGTTTCAGCGTGTTGCCCAGGTCGCTCTGAACGCGAGCTACGTAACCCCTGGAATCAAACATTGTGCGTTTATCGACGTTCACCAGCAACGTAGATGGAAGCCTCGCTTCTCTCAAGGAAGTCAGGCCTCTGGAAGGTCGCGTATACGCCAAAACGTCGCCTCAGATTTGAAACGCAGTGAATAACAATCGGTGCAAACCATTGTCAGTCCGATTCTTGTCTGCTGAAACCCGAGCGTTGTGCGTTTAGCTGACAGATGACACAGCACAACCTGTTTTAGACCTGTATTTGACCGATGGTGGCGACCCCTACAGGTCGCTGGAGTTGCGATTACCCAGACAAGCATATTCGCAATGAGACAGACCGTCAGGAATGCCAGCTTCCCCAAGGCTCTCTAGATGAGGTCGCGGTGCGGCATTTATCGTGATTCACTCAGGGCCCTTGGCTAATGCACAACAGGTGTCGTTAACTTTGTCCAAACTGTTTCATACCGTGGCGACGAAACGGGAAAAGGGGATACTTGTTGCAACAAATACGTCACTAGGAAGAATACATTCTACACCACTTATCTGCATTAGACAGCGCGACTACAGCACCAACTCTTCACCTAGCGGTGTGAGCACCGCTAGGAGTCCGAAAGAACGCATGCGCATCACGATGTCAACGCTGTCGCGCTCTTGCGCGCCATCGGGGGAGAGGGCTGTGGCCGGCGCACGTAGCTCAATGCTGTCCAAACAAAACTCGTTTACTGCTGCGCAAAAAAAAAAACAAAAAAAAAAAAAAACGATTGGGGTTTAGATTTGCCAAAATTAAAAAAGTTAATGTTTTGGCGCGCGTGTACATTTTCAGGGTGAGGACATCAAGTACGCAAACATCACGACCGTACTTCTCGCCTCCTCGCTGTTGTCTTCTCCCTCTTTTTTGATTTGTTTTTGTTTAAGGGAGGGTGGGATCGCGATAACTGAAGTCACGGGACAAAGCTCTCTGTAGAAATCCGATCTTGACTCAGATTTCTTAAAAAGTGCTTCAGCTTCCCTTTAGGCTCGGAGTGAGTATTAGGCTCCCTCATAATCCCTTCATGCGCCCAGTTGCTCTGAAGCTCTGAAGCAACATCCCAAAGCATTTTTTTTTCTCCATACAAAAGCCCCCTGTAGCCGCGAATGCCCACTGTAGCTCCAAAACAACTTATGTTTCACCTCAAGCAACATAGATGGCGGCGCGCGTCCTGATCCCAGCTATACACCATGTTTGGTTTGGGTTGGCAGCGATATGTATCTGAATACGCCGCCAAGATGGATAAGATTCTAAATATCTTGCCCTAAAATGTTCCCTCAGAAAAAGAAAAAGTCTGAAAATGTTTTTAAATTATAAAGACAGAGGTATGTTTAATAAGTACTAACATTCAATGTTTTACTTACCCCAACGTGGAACACAAACTGTTGTTTCTCTGGAGCAACAGTGGTCACTCGCGTCACTACTGGCTCCGAACATTATGGTTCAGACGTACTCCAAAGCCTGCTGTTTTTGTGTAATCTACAGTGTGCACATTAAGCGCAATTGTTATTTCTACAATTATGAAGAGTTCAAAAAAGAAAATGAATGACAGGCTTTTAGTATAGCATACTATAGTTTTTGTTTTGTTTTTCTGCTTTATTTCTGTCGTTGGCATTCGTCGTGAGCCATCGCCTGTCGTGGCAATCGCTTTCTTTTATTTAGTGAATAATCACGTAACAATTACTAAAATAAATTCGGAGTTTTTATGGGCTAATTCAACAATCTCATTGGCTACATAGCGATAATTAGATGCTCAGGTCTGGCAGCGCCCAGCGTTTCTTAAAGTGTCTATAATTAAGCATATTAAAAAAAATTATGGAGACATCCAATACTTGGCACGCGTTCATTGTATCGTGATCGAGTATCGTTATCGGAGCGCATTTCGATTCTACTAAAACTCTCCAAAACCACAGAAGTGATTAGGACAAAGCTTTCCGGGAGGTCTGTGTAAATGGAAACCTGATGCAATTAGGAGCCGATAGGAAAACACAACGAACACCGTCGTTGTTAGCTGCACAATTTAATTTTTAAAAAGACACTTCGAAGTGTTTGCGGCGTAAGCACGACTTACGCCGCAAGCAGTTAAAGCTGTAATTATGAAAAAAAAAATCATTAATAATATACAAAGTATCTTATCAACAATTTATGGTGTAATTACTGGGGATCGACATATATTTTATGATGTTTGCGTTTATTTACATAACTTTTCTTTTGCCCTCATTTACCTCGGTTATTTAAGCGCACTGAACATTTTCGTTTTATATTCCGCTTCATTACTTACTGTCTTTCTTTCTTGTGTTTTTTTTTTACATTTCCTATACGTAATAAGGTGATAGCTTTTATGCGTTATAATTTCTGCTCGATGAAGCTAAGCGAAAAAGAAATAATGACACTTAGAGTCACTAGTTAATGTGTAAAAATGAGGTACCCATCTAATAAAAACGGGTTAAGTTACGCTAATAAACGACACTGCCATACAGTTAGCCCGTTTACTCGGAAAATGTTTCCGCAATTACCCTCCAAAAATCGCCACGTCTAAGCCTCACAGGAGACTCAAATTATGCGGTAATTTTCCTAAAATGTACTCTACTTTCCGACTTGTTCGTGCACTTTGACGGAAACGGTATACTAGTTTTGGAGTTATTTAAAGAGAATGTATTACATTCATTCCGCAAGTGTCTCGCACTTAAAGTAGATGACGTTGCTCCAACGAGCAGATTAGGTATACTTCACTCGAAGGGGACGTTTCAGCAAAAAAGATGGTCGAGCTCCGAAACACGCACTTTGCCTGTCAACTTTCAATTACTGTAACGAGCAACGGTCAGCAAGTCCTTCCTCTAATCAAACCAAAAACAACGTATACTTTCCCCACCGCAGTTTCTCTCTTTATCATCTGTCTACCTGGCGATAGCACACGGGGCAACACATATTTAAGCGTTTGTGCTGCCACGCTTCGTGAAATCAACACTTTGCAGAAGTCGTTGTATCGTCTGCTCCTCGCCAGATCCTGTTCTAGAAGCAGACGACGCAGTTAACTCTTCGCTCTGGTTGGAGAAAGAAAGTGAGTGGAGACGAAGGCAGCTAGCCTTTCCGTCTGCCTATCTATCCTTCTAATCGGTGCTCGGCGTTTTGACATCCCCACGCGCGCTGCCATTTTTCTTCCTTTTCTGTTGGGCTGCACCCAACGTTACTAAAACACTCAGTTGGGAAACTCGCCGTCGAAACCTGGGCTGCTGGCGTCCACCGAGACCGAGCTAAATGCGACAACAGCGCCACTCTTTATCGTTTGTCTGTACTGTGGTCACCTCGAGCTTTTTGAAAGCCTGTTTTTGCGTAAAAACAAACGGAAAAGACTCTTTTTGTATGGAATTTATTGGAGTTTAGTACCAAATGATGGGCGCGTGATGTTTTTATCATCTTTAGTTCGCAAGGTTTTGCGGAACAATTAATATTGTTTTCATACAACCATGCCTCAGCGGG